GGGGGGAGGGGGGAGGGTCAGAGGGCGGGGAACCGAAGGGCTGCCCCAGGGGTGGGGGTTGTTTTGGAGAGATGTGGGTGGAGCCTGCATGCTGATGAGGAGGAGGGGGGGGCGTGGCCAACACTCTGCCCCTCCTCGTCGACAGGGGGAACCAAAGGGTTTGGGAACCCCTCCCTCCCCCTCCCCGTAAAGGAACAGGCAACAAAACGCGGTGAAAACTGTGTGGTTTTTACTGATGAGGTTAATAAATAAATGCAATAAGTAGCAGTGGGGGGAGCTCAGCCCCTCTCTGACCCCACCCAGATGTGTGGGGTGCTTCCCCATCAATGGGGGATTGCCTTTCAGTGGGGGGGGTCCTGGGGAGTTCCCCATCATTTGGGGGGGGGGTCCCAGCAGGATCCTGATGGTGTCCTGGGTGATGATGGAAGCACAGAGGCATTCCCGTGTTCACATTCCATGGGGTGCTCTCCAGGTCTGGCAGGAATAACTCATGGAGTGTCACATTTCTTCTCCCAGAAGCAAATGCTGCTGCTCTCCTTCCTGCCTCACCTTTACCCGATTCCTTCTGCATTAGTGGGCTGAATTTGATTGCCTAAACCGAACCATTAAATGCCACATGAGGTCCCCTCACGTATTCCTCTTTACCTGTGGGACGGTCACAAGTTTTCCTCTTTCTGTACTCATACCTGGGATTGCCCCAACCCAAATGCAACTCTCTGAGGTTCACACGGACCCGCTTTCTCATCCTGTCCAGGTCCCTGTGGATGGCAACCCTCCCTTCTGTTGTGTCACCTGCAGCACTCAGCTTTGCTGTGGACGCACTCGCTCTCGTCGTCGCTGTCACTGATAAAGATGCTCAGGATTACCAGGCCCAAGATGCACCCTTGGGGAGCACCACGTCTCACTGGCCTCCACCTGGACACAGAGCCGTTGACCACAGCCCTCTGGCTGCAACCAATCCAAACAATTTCTTATCCATCCCTCTCCATTTCAGATGTGCTGCAGGACCACGTCAGAGGCCTTGCACAAATCCAGGTAGATGACATCAGTTGCTTTCCCTTTGTCCACTGATGCTGTCACTCCATCACAGAAGGCGTGGGATTGGTCAGGCATGACTGGCTCGGATCACTCACTTTAATATCTCTTCATGTGCTCTAACATCTCTTCCAGGAGGATCTGTTCCATGATATCCCAGGCCCAGAGGTGCAGCTTATCGTCCTGTAGTTCCCCAAGTCTTCCTTTCTCCCTTCCTGAAAGCAGAGTGACGTTTCCCTTTTTCCAGTCATCACCTGGGCAGCCACAGCTTTTCAAATACGATGGAGAGTGGCTCAGCCCCCACATCACCCCGCTCCTCCAGAACCCTGGGATGCACATCATTCAGCCTCGTGAGGCAGCCTGTGTGCTTACAGAGGGGGGTGCTTCACCCCTGTGACCCCTGCCCAGAGTTTCAAGGAGCATGAGAGGTGTAGGAGCCTGGTGAAGACCGAGGCAATGAGCTCACTGTCTATTTCAGCCTCCTCCATGTCTGCTTAAGTCACTTCTCCCTTCTCATCTATCAGAGAGGTACGCTCTCCTTGGCCTGTCTCTGCTGACCAGCGTGCCTGTAGAATCCCTCCTTGTTGTTTTTCACATCCCTTGCTATTCTCAGCCCATCCACTTTTTAACGCAGAGGGCAATTCCCCACCCCTCCTACCTGGCCTATCCCTTCTGAAACGCTTAGAGCCCTCAATCATCGTATTCCAGTTGTGTGAATCATCCCACCACGCTTCCGCATTAGCAATTAAGTCATCATTTCCTAATTGCAGCAGGATTTCCACCTCCTCCTACTTCCAACCCACGGCCAGTGTCTCAACCCCTCATCTGTGCACCCTGGGCACTGTCAGCTGAAACCGCAGCGTGGGGAGGGCACAGTGCAGCACCAAACCAAGTCATGGCAAACGCATTTTGATGCATTGATTGAACGCAGTCTGGTGTGGAAAAAAAAAATAAATGCATCCACGCTTTCCGTTTTGATGCAGGAATTTGAGAATAGTCTTCAAAATTGCAAAAAAAAAAAAAAAATTATATTAAATGATTCACATTTGCGACTGCATTTTCAGTTGATATAAATACACGACCTGCAGGTTTTCAGATGGAATGTGCAGTCGGGTCTCCGACTCAAATATTTGGTCGTGTCTTTTTGCTAGGCTTTTATCAGGCCTCTGTTAACAGAGAGAAATGTCCCCTGGCTTTGCTGAATGTTGTTGGAGACCCAGCACTGGGTGTGAGCACAGTGGTGACACTGACAGTGGTCAGTTCTGCTGGTGGAGGTTTTGACAACGCGGCCTCTTGTTTGTTGCTGGTGGAAACTCACTGCTGATGGTGGTGATTGGTGAAAAATACTGTTTTGTAGCTGAGAATTTGCTCTGTCAAGCAGAGCTACTGTGCTCGTTGTTGTGGTTTCCAAGGGAATAAATAGGAGGCATTAGTTTTGGAGTGATCTATGGCCCGTGGCAATTCCTCTTCACTCAGTGTAGAAGGTCGGATGTTCTAGATCACAAAACTCAAAGCCCTGAGCTCAAAACCATCCACACAGCTATTCAATCAACAGGTCTGTTCTCCTCCTTCTGCCTCAATCCCAGTCCTTTATGAAGAAAAAAGGGAATGGAAACGCACAGCTTCTTCGATTCTGTCTTGTTTTTACTGAAACTTCGGTCGTATTCTGCTCATACAGAAACCGTCCTGTGGGGACAGGGGAGCGTGGAGAGGCACAGCTTTGCCACTGTCACTTTGTGCTGTGCTAAGAAGCAGCTAAGTTTCCTCGTGGTGATGGCAAAAGTAATGTAAAGTGGAAAGAAGCTTTCAGCTGGTGGTGTTCTGTAAGGCAGTGAGGCAGCGCCGGGTTGCTTCTCAGTACTGGGGTGCTCCCTGAAGGGTGAGGTGAGGCTGAGCATGGAGTCAAACAGGCCAAGGGCATGGGGGAAAAATGCCCTGTCTTGCATCAAGAGGCTGTATTTAGAGGGAGGCTATAAACGAGATGAAGAGCGACTGATTATACAGTCTGATAATAGGGAACGGTTTTAAACTAAGAGGGGAGGTTAAGGTTGGATGTTAGGAGGAAATTCTTCACTCAGGGGATGGGGAGGCGCTGGTACAGCCTGCCCAGAGAGGTTGTGGGTACCCCATCCCTGGAGGTGCTCAAGGTTGGGTTGGATGGGACCCTTCCTGTCTGTCCTACTTCCTGTGATTGATGCCATTTGTAGTTGGTGCGTCCCATTCAACTCTTCTTTTGTACCAGGGCAGGTTCAGTTTTCTCACATTCCACAAATTTAGCTTAAGAAAATGCAAATCTTTGGGATGAAAGGAGTGCACCTCTGCGAGCGGTGAGTAAAGGCACTTTGTATTTGAATTACAGATTCAAATTAGTTAATTAAGCATTAAGGTGGGGAAAAACCAGTCTTGGCTGATCTGCTGCCTGTGGGACAAGTCCTCATTCTCAAAGCACCACTGAAATTTTATACTCAGTGGAAAATCCCATCCCTCTCATCCTTGAATTCTCTGTATCTACAGGTACATGAGAAGGAGCAATCAAGCCCTCTGTGAACTGTGACTGATTAATTGTTGTGGGGTGCTGTAAGAGACTGAGAAGCAAGAGGGCTGATGTCCCAAATGCTCCCTAGAAGAGTGAATTGAGAGCACAGCACTAAGAAAATAAAGAGCAGTCGGAGGAGAGGCCTATTAAAATGGAAGTAACATCTCTCCAGTGCATCTGGTCTCATAAAACTATGAAGATCTGGTGAGTAACAATGGGGGCTTAATGGGGAAGAGAGAAATCTCTCCAGGTACGTCTGCATACGTGGTTAACTGGTAGTTGTTTGGGCAGGGAGAGAGTGAGACCAACCTACAGCCCCTCCAACCCGCTGCTGTTGGGAAAAGCCAAACCCAACTCACGTTGGAGGGGGCACGACGACCGCCTGGACCCCAGACTCATTTACAACCAGTGACAGAACTCCTCCTCGGGTCGTGACAGAGGATTTCAGGAGACCGAGTGTCCCTGGTCTGCACCCCTTCTATTTGTGGCCATGGTTGTCATCACCCACCTGATGTTTTCCTCTTAATCAGCACCCACCTGGTGTTCTAATCTTTTCCAGGTCAAGGAATTGTAACGTTGAGGTTTATTGTGGCTTATACACCTGAACAAGACATATGTCAACGCAGCAGTTGAGCCTATTTGTCACACAGCCCCCATCCTACCCCCTCCTCTAATGAGAGGGAAAATGCTGCTTGCTGTTACTTTGCCTTTTGTGTGAATTCCTGTCCCAAGGGAGTGCTTATATTGACTGCATGTTCTGGAAGGCCAAGTGGGGACAGGCCCAAATCTTGCACAGTTGATGAAACTGAGCAATGAGCAATTTGTAACGAGCTGGAGCCTCCACCCTCATATCCACCAACACCTCATAAGCCTCTGCAGCTCCTGTTAGCATCTAGGAGCTCCACTGAAACTCTGGTTTGGCCCATGAATCTATGCTGTAATACAGGTTTGTTGGTCTCAAGCTCCACTACAGCCGTTCCTGTGCTTGACCACTGATCCTCACAGTGTGAGAAACAGGTAGGAAAGCTCCCTGTCACTCCACTCTCCTGCAGGAGTTCATAAACATGAATCAGATGTGAAAAAAAAGGACAGCAGAACCCTCCAAATTCCTGGCATGCCATGAAGGGCTGTGTGTTACACTGGAGTGAGAAAAGAAACCAACCAACACAATTTTATTGAGTTTCAGACTCTGAACCAAGAGAACAAGGCTGCGTGCTGCTGCTTAATGCTTATTCCCCAGTTATTCTCTTATGAACAGTAACTCAAACATGATTTTTTCTTTTTGTTTTCCTCCAAGAAAGCAGCTTACTGTCCCTTCCACAAAGCTGATTCACCTGAGCGCACACGGGGCATCTCAGTGTGCGCGGCCACATTCTGGTGGTGATGTGGACACTGAGACTTGATTTATGCTTAGAAAGTTCTGTGTTTGTTAGGCAGAAGCTAATTGCTTGCAGCTGGGAGCCTGCTGAACCAGTGCAGTGTTCAGGAAGGAGCAGCTCACGTTCCTCCTGCCATGCGAGAGCTGGAGATGTTTCTTCCATCTTTGCTTTCTTCCCCCTTGCTTCATGCAAAGGCAAAACTGGAGCTGTCAAGATCATCTAGGGAACAGTATGAGGACTACCAGATTCGGGTGCGAGCCTAACCAATCTAGGACCAGAGTTTAGAGACAGGTTGTTCATTTGGTGCTCATTTATTGTCAATATCTACCCGCCCCTTTGTAACCAGGAGTTACTTTGTGGAGCCCTTTTAATTGACGTGCATAAAAGTAGTGATGATGGAGGCACATTTGAAATGCTGAGCACGACGACCGGTTGATTGCTGTGTCCCACTCTCTGTAACCTCACCCTCTATGACCTCCTTTATTTTTTCCCCAATTGCTTTTAGACCCGAAGCACCCCAGAACATATTAGGAACGTTCTCGATACGGGGTTTCGCTTTCTGTTCATGTAATTTCCTTTTGTGTTTCTTCAGTGTGTTCTCACATTTATTCCTCTAATTTGTTCTCCAGCTCATCTTGTGTTATTCTTCATTTATACTGCAGAGTTATTAGGGACAAATGCAGCTCACGCCATAAGCAATTATGGTGAATGTAAGAAGCCCCAAAAGCTGGAAGAGCTCTTAAAAGCCCAGCACTATTCAGCCACCTGTCCTTATAAATACATTCCTCTCTCCTGCCACAGCTAGTGACAGCTAACAGTAAGAGGTGCAATCAGTCACAGGTGATAAGGAGTTTTCTCCCTCTTGAAAAATGCTTTTTGTTTAACTGATTTTCATAATATTTGCATTAAGATCCAGGTGCAGGACACATACATAGATTTAGCGAATCAGCATGGTGCAAGATGTTTGAAAATCATTTATTTTTTTGGCCCAGGAAGGACGTGAGAGCTAGAATCTCGTAGCAATGTACATTAATTAAAGCCAGAAATGCTTAAAAATGAGAGCTGGCGATGCAAAGTAGGAAACAACGTGGTAATTCTTTAACCACGACTCTTGTGGATGTTTAAGTTGAGACTGATGTTTCTTCTCCTAGAATTGTGGTGCTAAGCAGTAAGGACAATGCACCATGATCCTATTTCCAGCAAGTTATCAATTCCCTTCACTTGACATTCTGTTCAGTGCTCAGTCTTAAACATTCACAGGCGTGTGCATCAGGCTTACCGGACTCAAACCCTCCTGCATCTAATGGGAAGAAATGAGAACCTCCACGACCTGAGCAGTAGGTAAAAAAAGTAGAAAGTAGATCAGTTAAGTGTCTGCATTACCTGGATGGACCTCAGAGAGATGGAATGTTTGCACCACGCGAGACATCAGTTCCAAAGTCAAAGGATACAAAGGCAAAGAAGTGGGCAAAAAAAATCCTTGCTGCTAACTGTGAAATAAATCGCTTTTTGTTTCCGAATTCACACCCAATCAACGGATCCTTCCTGAGAAATCATAAAGGAAGGGAGATGAAAGAAAGGTGCCTGATGTCCCTGTGAACTGGGGCAGCTGTGACTTTTATGTCCTGCTCCTGTCCCCTGACAGGATTGTTGGTTGCTACAACCAACAAGAACTTAAACACCCATCCTGTGTCAGTGGGCATCATCACCACCATCCTCTTTAAGCACTGAGCCAGTGCCACGTGTCCTTTTATGCAGAGACTGAGTCTGTGCTATGATTTTATATTCAGCTGATGGACCAAAATTCAACCCAAGCCGCAGAGTCCATGCGGGGAACAGAAGAGCCTCAGCAACTGAGAATTCTAGACACTGTGTGAAAGCCTTTTAGGTAATGTAGGCATGTCTACTGAAGATCTCAAAAGACACAGCAACACGTGTAACCATTAACATCCCTTACCTCTGGACTCAGATTGATAAGGAGATTAATAATTCATCTTCTCTTGAGATAAAGCACATTGAATATGGCAGCATTTCAGAGCGTGCACTAAAGACTGGGTGCAAGCAAATCACCAGGTGGTAGATCTCTGCGTTAGCAGCAGGTACAGAAGGTCAAGAGCTTTTTTGATAAACGATCCCTGAACTGCTTTTGGGTTTCATTGTAGGTGTTTGGACCACAGTCTGGCCATGACACAATCCAAACCTTTGCTTTTGCTCTCTGTTCATCCACGCTGTGCAACAACTGCCCTGATCTGGGAGACCGAGAGCAGCAAAATTCTGCCTGAAGATTAAGGACATGCTCAATACTGCTAGCAGGCAACTTACAGCACCTTTCATCAAAAGCCAGCTGGAAGATGGATCGAGCACAAGGGGAATCCTGCCCCACAGATCTCAAGCCCTTCCCAAGCTGAGTGGAAACACTCGGCCTGTCTTCATCGTCCAGCACAGAGCAAAGCAACCGTGGTCACGCCGTGCAAACAGCCGATGTTCTTTGCAGCTCATCAGCCCTCTGCACTCACACACCTCCATGCTTTTGGTCCCTCACTGGGCTGCTCTTTTAAATGCTGCTTCAAGCCCAGCTCCACGCAAGCAAAGCATCACAGAGAAATGCATCTTTCTGAAGGAGCGGTTGGGTGAATCTTGTGTGGGAGGAAAGTTCTCATTTCTAAACAGACGAGGCGTTGCTGTGTGCACGAAGCTGTAGTCTGGCCAGGCCAGAGAGCGCTAAGAAAGGGTGATGCAAAAATAGCACAGGCTGATTCTGAGCATGCAGGAAGTTCATCACACACCACAGAGTGAGTTCCCAGCACGTGGCAACGTTTTGTGTGTCTCCAGATTGCGTCTAGCCCTCTGTTGGTCGTCTCTGTGGGCTGATGCAGGGCCAGAGCTCCCGGTGGCTGAGTTCCTCCATTCTCAGAGCAGACAGCAGAACTGCAGCCGTGGTCCTGCTCTGCCCCTTGACTTCACCATCAGCCCTACATCCAAGCAGGGACACGTTCTCAATTGTGAGCCCAGAGAAAACGTTTTGTGGGACAGAGGAGTGGGGAGAGGCGCTAGTTTACTTCTACTGCAAGGAATGAAACTGCAGTGCTGTTTCCTTGCGGTGACAACGGCAGCGATAGTGAGTGCAAAGAAGTTTTCTGCTGTTGGAGTTCTGCAGGTGATGGAGAGTGTGTGGCTGCACTCAAGGCTTTGGGTTGTTTGCAGGCTTCTCACTGCTGGGATGCTCCCTGGAGGGTGAGATTGGGCTGAGAATGCAGTCTAAAGAGTAAAGGAGCAGTGGGGATATGTGTAAAGCACAGAAGAGATGCCCTGCCTGGCGCAGAGAGGTTGTATTTGAAGAGATCTTGTAAACAAGATGGACAGTGATTACACAGTTTGGCAGTGGCAGGACAAAGAGAAAGGTTTTAAAATAGATGTGGGGTGATTAATGTCAGACACTGGGAAGACATTCTTGATTCAGTGTGTGTTGAGGCACTGGCACAGGCTGCCCGGAGAAGCAGTGCCCCATCTCTGGAGGTGCTCAAGGATGGAACGTAAGATTCTATGATTCTATCTAGGTATAGATAACTGTATTATTTTTAAGGTCCCTTCCAAATCAAACCTTTCTCTTTTATGACTCTGTGAAAGACCAGGGGTGGTCAGCAGTTTGGAGGAGACAGAGCAAGGAGGACAGCTGACCTAAAGAAACCAAAGTGACACTGCATGCAGAATGAGGCCATGATCAGCAAGGAGATGTGGGGAAAAGAGGGAGAAGGGAGAAGTTTCCTCCCTTCAGGAAACAGGAAACGCGGACCATGCTGAGGGCTCTACGTGTCCTGAAATAAAAGCGGTGTCTCTGCTGACGCAGTAGACGCACCATAGGCTGCATCACAGCCTCTCGCTGTGAATAACTCTCCATCAGCCGCAGAAGCACCACAGGACACGTCCGAGGCTCACAAGACAAACCTGTGACCATCTGCACCCAGCTCACAGCAAAGCAGGTGCCGGGAGAAGAGATCTCCAAAAGATGTGGGTGCAGACGGGATGGGCCACGCCATGTCCTCGTGTCTCTGCCCTCCTGCTGCTGGTGCTTGGTGAGTTAGGGAGCAGGGAACCCTGCCTGGAGCAGGAAACCCACCAGTAATATTCTTGGGGTGGTGCTGAGGGTGAAGATGAGTAGGAACATGTGTGTAGGCATGTATGAATAATTTGAGAATGAGGAATGCTGTCTGAATTTGAATTTGAGGAGATTGCATCTGGAACCGAAAACACATCTGGACTGGGCTTAGATATGCTGAGAAGGAGATGGAGGAGAGGCAGTATGCAAAAACACAGATGAGATTGCTCCTACTCCGCAACAGGGACATGGGCAGGAACACGTGGGTGAGCAGGACAGTGTCCCTCTAACCAAAACCCTCTCTATCTCATGGTGCAGGTACTGGTGGGAGCACACAGAACATCTGCAGCTCCGGGACTGATGGTGAGTGTGAGAATGGGTCCAGAAAATGAAAACCTCGTGGGGGAGGAGATGGAAAGTGAGAAAGGAATCTTTCCCAATGAATTCCCAATGTCCACCCCTGGAGTGCTGGTTGTCCATGCCTTGGGATACAAGGTGTTTTTCAAGTACTGATGCTGGTGGAATCCCTGTGCCATCTCTCCAGGTGTTCTCCAGGCTCCTGTCCTGTACCTTAATGCATCCAGTGCTCAGGAAGGGGACGTTGTCCTGGCTCAGTGTGTTCTTCAGGACCAGTTTCCTGCTACCCGAATTGTCTTCTGCAAGGATGGGTTGGAGGTGTACAGCATGAAAGCCCAAGAGGGCAAGGTCATCAACTCTGTGCTGCTGAGCATCACTGAGAGAAGCAGTGGGACTTACAAGTGTTTGTACGAGCAGAGGAATGAGAAAAACTGGATGAGGATCTCTGTCCTCAGTGCTCCCCGGGACCTGCGTGTCACAGGTGGGACATGAGATCAGGGTGGTGGGGACACAGGTGGGACTGAACATCCCATGTGCAGCAAGAGATGTCATAGAGTGGGGTTGGTTCTGGAAGGATTCCCTTCTCCATCCCACGCTGCAGAAATGGGGCTCTGCAGTGCCCAGGAAAAGAAAGGAAAGATAGGGGGTGGCCATGGAGCCTTTGAAGATGGGTAAGGATGCTTCAAGGATTGTTGCAATATCTTTATGAGCGTATGGAAGGGAAATTGGAGCGATTTCCAGGAGTGGGATTGTTCCTTACTGTGTGAGTTCCTACTCAGGAAGAAGATGATGCTGTGGCCATGGTGTGGGGATGGCCAGATGTCGGTGTGCTTTGGGGTCTGGGTGCCCCCACCTTCAACAAAGCCACCAAAAAGAGCCTTTAGATGATGGCAGGAGGGGAAACACAGGATGCAGTCTTGTAAATTTGATGCTGCCATCCCATCTAGACAGGGCAACATACTAGTCCTTTCTTATCCCCAGCGGCAAGGAAAGAAGAGGGCTGTGCTGCAGTGTCATACAATGCACAGCTGCATCTCTGCCATGCATTTCTTGATCCATCATAGTTTCCATAATCGATACCCATGTGGGAGAGAACCCGCATCGTTCCACGTGTCTCAGGGGCAGAGCTGGCTGAGCGGACTCCTGCCCACGGCTGCAAGCTGTGCCCCTACCAATGCATTCAGGGGCTGTGTTCATGCAGAGGTGAGAGTTCAGGGGAGATACTCAGCCCATCCATTTGTGCCAACAGGCCACGTGTCCGGCTCCACAGAAGGGACAACAAGTGCTGGTGAGGCTTTCCCCTTTACTCCTGCAGTCCCCATGCATCCCAATCTTCCCTCTCACTCTCCTTTGTCCCCATTTTGTCACTACGTCCCCAACACACCCCAGTGTCCACATCACTCCCTTCGGACTCAACCGCACTCCATCAACCCCAAGCTCTCTGTCCCCACGCCTCCAATCTGTCCCCAGACCCCAACAACCAGCAGGCCTCCGCAGTCACTGTGCAGAGTGTGGCATCGGTGACTGTCATCCTCCTCCTGTCTGCAGCGACCTTCTGGACCGTCAAGAAAGGTGAGGGCTTGTGGGAACTGTGAGGGATCCACGAGGCTGTCACAGCTCTGATGTGGGACATTTCTTCTTGCAGGTACCTGCAGGGAGAGATGCCGAAGGTGAGCAGTAATGGCCTGGTCAGGGCTGGGGGATTCAGGTGCAGCTGGGACCCTGTGCAGGGCAGCGTGATCTGTGGGTTCCCCCAAGATAAGATGGGATTTCCATCCTGCTGGGGTAGAGAGCATTTCCTCATGGGAATATTTCCAACAGAACATGGGCACCTGGTGGATGAGAGATTGCTGTGGGTTTGGATCGAACGCAGTGCCCAAGGAGGCATCATTTAGTGAATATCCCACAGCAAACACACAGCCCAAATCCATTTCCCTTTCCTCTCCAGGCAGCAGCACGTTCCCAGCCAGCAGATGGAAGCCACTGACTATGGAGAACTACACTGTGAGTGCTGGGCACCCCTTTTCCATGGGGATCCCCTTCCCATGAGCTCCCATTTGCCATCCCACCAGTTCCTTTCATGATGGGACTCGCAAAACTATTCATCAAGGGAGAATTTCTCCGTGCTGCTTTCATCCCAGTGCTTGTGCTGACAAATCCCGCATGCATGGTGGATCTCTCAGTTCAGACTCTGCTGTTCACCTTCTTCATTTTCTCCTCCCTGTGGTGTTTGTTTCAAGCCCAGCCCAAGGCTCAGCCCCACACTGGAGGATGCTTACAGAGACAGGGGTGGGGAAATATCTCAGAGGTGGCTCTGCAAGTGCAGGCAGCAGCAAAAGGGAGGATGCTGTGGTTGGAGGCAGGGGATGTAATCCCACCACGTGTGCACCTTGCTCTGCTTGCAGCTCGAATTTCATTGCAGAGCAGCAGGCTGAGATGTAAAGAGAGAAAATGCCTCCACCAATGGGAAAATGCCCCAAAGCCCATCATCTCAGCTCCTGCGTATCTTCCTGCACAGAGTGGGCAAACGGGGTTGGGCAGTCAGAGCAGAACCCATCATCTGCTGCCCAAACCAATGGTGGTTCTCCCCTATTCCCATATTGGTACTGAGCAAGCACTCACGGTGTATTTTTTCCCCCACAGATGCCACCGTTGTCCACTATCAAAGGGACAAGGTGAGTTGGAGTCCTTCCCCCTGGAATTGAAGTGATACGCTCCTCAGACACATCATGGTATTGTTTGTACACCTCCTCATGCATCTCCTGCTCTTATGTTCCTTCTGCTTGCAGAAAAATGGCAAATCACGAGATACTTTTTCTAGCCACACATCACACTCTCCTCTCTGACTTCTGCAAACACCTCCCCCTGTTGTGTAGAACTGCAGCCCCTTGTTGCTGCTGCCAGAATTGCGCGGTTCCTCCTCGGAAGCTCCAGAAATGGTTCTATTTGAGGAGTTGGAAGAACATTTCTGAGAGTTGGAAAGAAAGCAAAGGGGGAAAATCTTGCCAACAATTATGAAGAAGAGGCAATCTAGCAAGGAAGCGCTGCCGCAGATGTGCTCTTATTTTTTGCTAGCTGTCTCCTGCCTGCTTCTTCCTGCATGCGTGGCTCCTGGTGCACCTGGAGTCTCCTCGTTCAGGGCCTGCAGGCTGTAGCTGCAGTAATTGGGCTTTCCTTTCCCCTCCAGCCTCCTGTGAAGCAGATAAATGACAGCAGAGCCCTGTAGGCTACAGCATGGCCAGGGCACTGGGACTGGGTCACGGCCACTGTGTTTCCTTGCACAGGGCTCCTGGGGTGTAACGTGGGGCAGAGAGTATTTATGGGGTTTGCTCTCATGTTACATCTAGCAGAATAAGATTTATGACTTGCTTATGTACATAATGCCTGCAATATTAATAAAACATCAGAGATACACCAAAGTGGAACATAATGATGTGTCATGCAAATCCACAAGCTGCACTTTGCTGCATCATCAATCTCAACCACAGTCTTGAATCAGAGGAATCACGGAGTGATGAGCTGTGGTTATGCATTACTGCTGTGGCTTCAGGTGGAAGAAGCTCTGAAGATGCCCAGGCTGGCTGTGTTTTGGTACCTGCAATGAGCCTGAAGCGCAAGGATTCTGTCACAGCCCTGTGCACAGAATGTCGCTCTCAGGGTGCATTCAGAGAGAATTACACCAGATTCGACTGGGAAGACTAAGGGAATCTTCTGTGCCTCTGTGTCACAGACTGGCTTTGTCCTGTCACCGTGTCTGTGACTGATTAAACAGCAGAACAGAAGTGAAAATGAAAGCAGAAGCAGCAGCGGGCTGTGCACCCACCTGTGGTCTGATTCTGTACGCTTTGAAGCTGTTTGTGAAAGGCTCCATGTGGTTTTGGGGTTTCCTCATCTCTTGGACAATGTCATGGCAGTTACAGGACTTCTACATGGAGCACAAATTCCTCAAAATGACGTTGAAATTTGCTCACACGGGGCCACACGAGCCTTATGTGTTCACAGGTGTGTGCATCAGGGCTCATCAGACTCAAACCCTCCTCATCTAACGAGGAGAAATGAGTACCTCTGAGACCTGAGCTGAGGCAGGTCAGTGAAGATGCAGTATTGCATCTCAGAGAGATGAACGTTTCCAGCATGGGAGGCACAAGGGCAAAAGCCGATGAACACAAAGGCAATGAAGTGGGCAGATGTTTAGAAAAATCTTTACTTCCTGACTGTGAAATGAATGACTTCTTGTTTCCTAATGCACACCCAACCAATGGATCGTTGCTCAGAGATCACACAGAATCACAGAATTGTAGGGGTTGGAAGGGACCTCCAGAGATCATCGTGTCCAACCCCCTGCCAAAGCAGTTCCCTACAGCAGGTCGCACAGGTCGGCATCCAGGCAGGTCTTAAACATCTCCAGAGCAGGAGACTCCCCCACCTCCCTGGGCAGCCTGTTCCAGTGCTCCTCACCTCATTGTACAGAAGTTCCTTTCGCACATTGGTGCAGAACTTCCTATGCTGCAGTTTCCGGCCGTTTCCCCTCGTCCTGTCTCCACTCACCACTGAAAAGAGTCCGGCCTCGCCATTCAGCCCCCACACCTTAGATACTTACAGACCTGGATCAGAGCCTGCTGGCTCATGGCCGACCTGTCGTCCACCAGGACACCCAGCTCCCTCTCCGCAGAGCTCCCCTCCAGCAGCTCATCCCCCAACCTGTAGTGGTGCATGCAATTATTCCTCCCCAGATGCAAGACTCTACACTTGCTTCTGTGAAACCTCATCCGGTTTTTTTTTTGGCCCAGCTCCCCAGCCTCTCCAGGTCTCACTGAATGGCAGCACGGCCTTCAGGCTGTCAGCCAATCCTCCCAGCTTCGTATAATCAGCAAACTTGCTGAGGGTGGCCACCATCCCCTCATCAAGGTCATTGATGAAGATGTTGAACAAGACCGGACCCAGCACCGACCCCTGAGGAACACCGCTGGTTACAGGCCTCCAACCGGCCTCTGCACCACCAACATCGACCCTCTGTGCTCTGCCAGTCAGCCAGTTTTTAACCCACCTCACTGTCCACTCATCTAAGCTACACTTCCTCAGCTTTGTTATAAGGATATCGTGGGGGACAGTATCAAATGCCTTGCTGAAATCAAGGTAGGCTACATCCACTGCTCTCCCCCCATCCACCCAGCCAGAGACAACATCACAGAAGGCCACCAGGTTGGTCAAGCACGACCTCCCCCTGGTGAATCCATGCTGACTGCTCCTGATAACCTCTTTCTCTTCCAGTTGTCTGGAGATGGCATCCAGCACAGCTGTTCCATCACCTTTCCAGGGACAGAGATGAGGCTGACTGGCCTATAACTGCCTGGCTCTTCCTTCTTGCCCTTTTTGAAGACCAGAGTGACATTGGCTCTCCTCCAGTCTTCAGGCACCTCCCCTACCCTCCAAGACCTCTCAAAGGTGACAGAAAGCGGTCCAGCAATCACCTCTGCCTGCTCCCTCAGCTCCTGTGGATGCATCCCATCGGGTCCCATGGATTTGTGAACATTGGTGTTGCCTAGGCGCTCCTGGACCACCTCTTCCCTGACAGAAGGGAGGTCTTCCATTCCCCAGACCCTCTCACTAACATCCAGGGTCTCGGATTCCCAAAGGGGAGCTTTCTCACTGAAGACAGAAGCAAGACAGAATGCAAGAAGGTATTGGAGACAAAACCATGAAAGGTGTCTGGAGGACCTCCAAACTGTGCTTTGATGCCCTGCTCCTGCCCTCTGGCAGGACAGTTATTATCACCAACCATCTCCATCCTATGTCAGTGTGCTGTTCATGGGCATCAACATCTCCAGCAGCATCTTCTTCTTTGCGCTGAGCGAGTGACTCACGTTCTTTTAGTAAAATCCATGTTAAAATTTTGCATTCTGCTGATTAATCAAAATTTGGCCCCATCTGCAGAATCCATCCGTGAAAAGACTCAGCAACTGAAATTCTAGATGTTGTGTGAAACTGTAAGCCTTGTGGATAAGTCAGGCAGGTTTGGTAAGGAAGATCTCAAAAGACACAGCAACACTTGCTACCAATTAACATTCCTTATCTCTGGACTAAGGTTGATAAGGAGATGAATAATTCCTTTCGTCTTGAGATGGAGTCTGGCCAGGCCAGAGAGCACTAAGAAAGAGGGATGCAAAAATAGCACAGGCTGATTGTGAGCACACGGGAGGTTCATTGCTCAGCACAGAGTGAGTTCTCAGCACACGGCAATGTTTTGTGGATCTACAGATTGCACCTATCCCTCTGTTGGGGGAATCAGCCTCTGCCCAGGACTTAACCTCATTGTCTCCTCCATGTCTTACCTGCCATAGGAGGGAAGCATCCTTGTGTTGCAATTAGATGCAAAGGGTTCTTTGGTGTTACAGAGAGGAAGAGTTGGATGTCCACGGCCTATAATCAACACTGAGCCTTATTTCAGAATTAAAAATGTATTTCAGCTATTGTCAATTAGGAAAGGACTCCACATCTTAAGTCTGTAGATCAAAGAGAGTGAACTCTGAACAGTGGAACTGAAATGAAGACCGAAATATTAAAGATTAACTCCTGGTACAGCTCTGCCTGAAGGTCAGCTGCTGTTTTATTGTAATGCCAGTACTTTCTTGTCAAGGTGCATTGTAAATGGAGACTCTTTGTCCTTGGGTCTTGGCAGATATCACTGAGAGAACTTGGTTTGAAACGGGGGTGACTTTGAAGATCATGCCTTTGAATGCAGGTGTTCTTGGATTTTCATTGGACTCACCTCTTAATATTACCTCTCACAACTGTTTCTTCTTTGAAATGTGATGCAGCAAGCACTGTTACATGGGTTGATAGTGACAGGACAAGGGAGAATGGCTTTAATGGTTTTAAATGGTTTTAAGACAGGGGAGATTTAGGTTAGATATTAGGAGGAAGTTTTTCACACAGAGGGTGGTGAAGCACTGGAACAGGTTGCCCAAGGAGGCTGTGGATGCCCCAACCCTGCAGGCATTCAAGGCCAGGCTGGATGTGGCTGTGGGCAGCCTGGGCTGCTGGTTGGCAACCCTGCACATAGCAGGGGGTTGAAGCTTTTCAGCACAGGCCATTCTATGATTCTACGAAGTTTTTTTAGCCTGCCTTAGAAACAAAACTGAATTTTCTTCAAGAAAGAGAAGAAGGAGGAAGAAAAAGGCTGTCCTTGGTGTCAGGGAGTACTCAAAAGTAATACAACATACACGAATCCGTGGAGTCCAACAGGCTGCATCCACCAGGTCTGAGGGAGCTGGTTGATGTCATTGAAAGACCACTCTCAGTTATCTTTGGAAGCTCATAGCAGTTTGGAGAGAAGGAAGAGAGCAAACATCAACTCCAACTTCAAGGAAGGCAGAAGGAAGACTCAGGTAACTACAGGCCAAACCTTTTCATCACAGGCCCTGGAAAGGAGCTGGAGAAACCCCTCCCCCAAACAAAACAAGAATGTAATTGAGTGCAGTCAGCATGGCTCTGTGAAGGGCAAATCATGCCTTATTAATCTGAAAGGCTTCTACACAAACTTGGTAGATGATAAGAAAGCAGAGGGAGCTGTTCACCTGCTCTTGGTGATAGGCTTTTGATCCTGTCTCCTGTAATATCCTCGTGGAGATACTGAGTGGAACATTCAGTGAAGTAGAAATCAGTTGAACAGCCAGGCTGTGTTGGATTTTCATGCCCGTATAAAGGGGAGAGGATGACTTTAGTGTGGAGCAGGTTGATCTTAAAGGACTGCAGCCACTGGAAAGGACCCACACTGTGGGGAAAGGTCCCACAGCAGGGAAAAGTGTGAGGAAGAAGGAGCGGAAGACAATTATTTGCTCATTCCCTGTGTCCTGTGCCACTCAGTGAGGAGTGGGGTTGGGGGTAAAAGGGTGAAACTGAGCCCAAGAAGGGCAGCAGAAGTAAGAAAAGTGTTGGTTCAATTTTGTCTCTGGTTCTCACCACTCGTATCTATTTTAATTTGTGGCAAATTGAATTTTCACCAAAGTGAATCTGCTTTATCTGTTGTGACAACTGCTAAGTGATCTCCTTGCCTTTATCTCAATTCATGACCTTTTTCATCTTCTTTTCTGTGTCTTGTTGAGGAGGGAGGAGTGGAAAACAGCTGGGTGGGCATCTGGCATCTGGACAAGACAACAAACTGGGAAGAATGTCTTTCACATCAGAATTGTCCTGTTGCCACTTAGATATACCTGGAAAGGCAAATGGGAAACTGATAAAGCTCAGAAAGAGGAGGAACAAAGTCCAACCAACGGGGAAGAACGGCCACAGATGCCAGCACCACCTTCTTTCATGTGATCCATAATTGCCTTTCTTTCAGTGCCATGTGCTGTTTATATTTAACTGTGCAGTCAGAGTTCCAGATGAATTTATGAGTTCACCGGTTTCTGTACAGGTAAATTCTCATATATCCATTTCTTTTTTTTTTTTTTTCATGTTCTTCTGATCTGTATCTTCAAATTATGTTTCCATTCGTTGGCTTCTGTGGATGAGACTCCTATTTTTAAAATAGTTATATTTGGTTTAAAGGCGGGATTCATCTGTCCGAATGACTCCACCTGTGGTTCAGCTGACATTTGGGATGCTCGGCCTTTGTCTTGAGACCTGGTGCTAAATTCCTTCAGCTGAGGCACCTGGTGACTGTACTGTCACCCCAAAATGCAGCAAATGTCGCATGCACGTCTGTGTAAAAGTCACAGGGAGGAGGGGAGGGGGGAGAAATACTATGGAAAAAGGCTCATTGGATGAGATGAGGACAAGAAATGAATGCGTTCATTATTGTTACTACTGGCGCTGGCTCAGTATAGGGGAGATTAGTGTAGTTTATTGGTAATTAATTGATAGAAGACTGGAGAAAAGTGAACTAAAGCAAACTAAAACCACCTTCCCCCCATCCACCCAATTCTGCCTCGTCCCCTCAAGCAGCACAAAGGAGTAGGGCAAATATGGTGGGGCAAAACACTTAGAGGAAAAAGCCAAGCGAGCTGACCGAAGGTTTGTCACGTACCTTGTGCACAGCAATAAAAGCTCAGAGAAAGGAGGAAAGTGAAAGAGTTGATGGTTACAGAAAAATAAACATGCGCTGAGCAAGGCGTCAGCTACTCAGGTGCAAACATCCTGCCAGCAGGAAAGATCAAGCAGTAGTATAGAATCAGTGGCTATGTTTTCATCATGTGGTTTTGTTTTGGCCACTGCTTGCTCTAAATTACCTTTCAGGTCAGATTTAAAAGCTCTGCAAGAAACAGTGTGGCAGATGAACAGTCCTGAGATGAGTTGTTTCTTCTGTGTTCTGCTTCTGCTCCAGATGGCTCGTGCAGGTAAATGCCTCCTCCCTGTAATATCTGAGAGCTTCTCGTAAACAATCAATCAGTCAATCAATCAAACAAATGCATTTTAAAAAGCAGTGCAGCCTTTTGCATTCCTGTATCCAGGCACTAGGGGATGCTCTCCAGTTCTGGAAGTGGTTCATGGCTTCCAGCTGCGTTGGAAATATCCAAAGAATTTTCTAGGACCGTTTCTCTGATGAAGCAGATTTTTTATTCGCCGTTGCAAGCAGGAGAGCCCCGAGAAAACAACGGTTCCATCTTGTATCCCTATTGCCTGACGCTGAGCTCTTTCTCCCCTGGTTCCTCATTGGCTGAGTGCTGCAGGTTCACACTCTTTCTCGACTCTTCTCTAATCATACAAATACCGGGTAGATGTGGTAGACACAAATCTTTGCTTCTCAAACACACACGTCTTAATTGGTTAATTGACTTCTAACAGTTGCAAGCATTTTGGTGATGACTTTTCGGATGACAGCTTTACAGCAGAAACACAGAGTCTTTTAATTGTTTAACCCCCCCCCTCTAACATTGGTTCCCCTTCACACTGGGTTGTTCTGGTCATTCATCTGTCCTTGCATAGAGATAAGGAGGATAGAGGGGAGCATCTTGGAGTCTGTCTATGGCATTCTAGCATTTCCACAAAGCGAGACAGTTCTGCTCTGCGTAAAGGCCCTGGCTCTCGAAAGTTTGTTAAATATGTTGTATTTCCACCAGTCTAATGAGCAGCCTTACAACATGTTTCCTATTTCAGGATACTGTGCTCATATAGTTTAGAACCTTCAAATTATTTGCAGCATCGTGAGAAAGCATCCATCAAGCAATTTAGTGATTACATTTCTAAAATATGTTACTAACATGTACAGTATTCTTGCTTTCTACATCAGCTATTTCTAAGGACACGTTACGGCTTAATTCTTTATTATTCTTACGTTACTTACGAATTCTTATGTTAATTCTTAATTCTTTAGATCAAAGATTGTCCTTTTTAATGTTCAATGCAGAAACAACACTTTCATTTCCCACAGCTGTCATTTCCTTCTCCTGGAAATGAAGAGTTCAACCCCCCTCTTCTCCTCACTCTACCTCTAGCTGTTTAATTCATTCCAGCTCCACCATTCCAGCTCTCATTAACAGCAGTTTCATTTTTGTATAGCAGAGCAAAAGAAAACACAAATTCAAAGGAAGGATTGGATAAGTTCCTATAAACAAAATCTATCAAATGCTTCTGTAGACAAACGTGACTCGGGAGGTCCGTGCTTCACTGGAAGACAGGAGAGAACAGTGTGGGAATACAACCAACCACCTACTTGCTCTGCTCTTATCTCCTTGTGGAGTCATCCTACACTGCCCGCACTGGGAGGCTGAATTTGGTTGCCTAAACCATTTAATGCCATGTGAGGCCCCCTCCTTTTCTGCAGAAGGACGCGGGAGTCCTGTGGGTTTTGATTGAATCCTGCTTTGAAATCACAACTGAATGCTTCAATGTAGGCTTCTAAATTCAAGAGTCTAACTTTTTTCTTTTTTTTTCTGCTAGAAACCCTTGATGTATCCAAATTGATTGAAGCGAACCACAACCTCCTCATAGGTGTCACTGCTTTAGTCTCCGTTCTCCTTCTCATGGCCATCATCATTGCGTTCTACTATTGCTTCTGTTCAGGTACGGGCATTTTCTCCCAACATCTGCAGCTTGTATGTGCTCCAAGTTCTGCTGCCCTCATTCCATCCTTATTTACACGGCATCCAGGTGGAGATGTGAAGAGTGAAGCACCCAGACCAGACCTTGCCCAAGTGTGAGGAGTAACTGCAGATGTTTGGAACCAATAATCATTCTCCCCCATCCTTCCTTTTCACTGTTGGGTTCAGCTCATCCACGTGGTCCAGAGCCATAAAACCTGGCTCTGATCTTGGCAATGCTGGTCATCTCTGAGGTGCTGACCTTCACGCTCCTCCCTCTGCACCAAAATGTGCTTGTTATTTTTTTTAATGGCTTCAGCTTCCTAATGAGAGGGAAAAGGAACGAGAAGAGAGTACAACTACATTGATTTCCATTCAGTAACACCACCTGCTTGATTTGTTTGAATCAAGCTGTCCAAACCCAAAACTTCCAGACACCAATATTTTATGGGAAGTTTAACATTTAAGCTTTCACTTCCACTGTGGAGTTTTCATGCTCTCTCTTTCTTTTCTTTTTTGTTTTTTTTTCTTCTTTTTTTTTTTTCAGTTAATCGTTCAAAGGATCCTGAAGGAGATCCTGAAAGAGGTAAAGCGTAGGTTAGAGTAAATGCTGATGATTACAGATGTCTTCGTTGGTACTTGATTGTGTATCTGTTTGGAGTATGCATTTCAGAGCTGCTATGGGACCATAGGGTGTGACCCAAATGTGATTCCCAGATGCTGTAAGTAATGAATTAAATTGAGAGCACGAGAGATTTTGCAAGTTTTGAGGTGCCTTGTCTAATTTCAGACTGAAATACAGGGTCATCACCGATATCCAAGACTCATTTGCAGAAATGCAAACACAAATGTCATTTCAGGTGTCGTAAGATACTGTTTGCCTTCTAAGAAGATCTGTGCAGCTGTCTGTGTGCCCCTAGCACACCTAAGCCTCTAAATATCTTTGTAAGGGAAAGTGAATCCAGGCCCACACACCCATTTGCCATCAAAGGGCAGCTCAAGGAGGCAGCTCTTTTCTCCCAGGGCAGATCAAAAGAAAGGGGAAGAGGGAAGATGGATTCTGGGAGCTTTAGTTGGTACTAAGTTGAATTTGAATGAATGCTCTGTCTTAGCAGTCAAAAAGGACTGAACCCCGTGGGTTCCTTCCACCTCAGGATATTCTATGATTCTATTAATCACTCGTGGAGCTGAGAATCCATCCTGGGTGGTCAACTGAAACGAGCACATTGAATTTTTCAACTAATATTTTTTTATTTGGATGGACACAGGAATAAGAACACCAACCTCTGCTCTTTATTTCCTCTCTAGGGTCACTCATTCCTGACAATTCTGAAGGTAAGAGTTATGGTGCACAGAGTAGTAAAAAAATAATGTCTATGCCATATTCGACTACACCGTATTCAACTTCTAATGCAGGATCTCAGAAGCCAGTTTGTAAGACTGCATGTGTCTTCCATTCAAGTTAATACTGGCAAGAATCTCCATGGCTCTGTCATCTGCTGGATCTGCTGTGAGAGCAACACCACTGTAAAGGTGGTGAAAGAGTGATTTTTGTCAACTACCTCTATTTGCAAGCAGTCACAAAGGAATTTTAGGAAAAGCACTTTTCTATTTTCTTTTTTCCTTTTTCTTTTTTCCTTTTTCTTTTTTCTTTTTTCTTTTATCTTTATTCTTTTTTCTTTTTCCTTTTTTCCGTTTTTCATTTTTTTCTATTTCCTTCTTTCTCTTTCCTCTTTCCTTTTTCCTCTTTTCTCTTTTTTCTTTTTTTCTTTTTTCTTCTTTTTTTTTTTTTTCTTTTCCCTTCCTCCCTTCCTCCTTTCCTCCCTTCCTCCCTTCCTCCCTTCCTCCCTTCCTCCCTTCCTCCCTTCCTCCCTTCCTCCCTTCCTCCCTTCCTCCCTTCCT